AAGTGGAGTGGTTGTGTTTTAGAGCCCTACTTGCGGACCAGGGCCAGGACCCCATCATTTTAAATTCTCTACAAATGCAAAAGGAAGATGGTCCCTAATGCATCTTCCTGGAAGAAAGTGCGTCTGAAGGAAAAGAGAGCATGGCAACCTAGGTCAGGGATGGTGTTAATACATGGGGGACTGCAGGCATGAGGAGGAGTGTGAATTGGGGGGCAAAAACTGTGGCTGGGTGTGTGAGCAGGGTGAAGTGGGTGAATGGAGATTTGGCTGCTTGGGGTGTTGACATGTAATCTGCATGGGACTCTAGCTCTCCTCCACTTTGTGAGGGGAAGGGAACAACTCTTTCCCAGTTCAAGCTAGAGTACCGCAGGCAATAGAGGGTTGACTTTGCTTCCCTGATCTTGGGGAGCAAGGTTGCTCACCATGCAAACTGAACTTTTTAGTGTCTTGCTCCTGCTACAAGCCCTGATATGGAGTCACTGGATTTTCAAGGATGAAACTGGCTTATCTGATCTAGTAATGATTGTGAGTTTACCAAAAATGGACCAGAAGTGGGCCTCATTGCATTGATAGAGGATATTCCCTGGGGGTGAGGAAGGAGCAACAAAGTCACTTAAGAGTTATTACATTCTCCTGTGACTACTTCTGTGTGTTTGCTTTCTGATTGGCTGCTTACGGTGGTGGCACCTCTGAAGTCAGATCTTTAGTGCTGTGGAGTGCTGATTAATAGGAAATGATCTAAGGGAGTGGCTTTCAACATTTTTTTTTTCCATTTGTGGACCCCTAAACAATTTTGAATGGAGGTCCAGACCCCTTTGAATTGTAAGTGTGGGTATCTGCATACTTTTGATTGATCACAGTGCATTTTGGTGGACCCTTTGGACATAGTCTGTGGACCTGCAGGGGTCTGCAGACCACAAGTTGAAAACCAATGATCTAAGACAATCTTGAGCCACAGTAATACTTTCTTTGAGGGTTGCCAAGCATATTCGGCTAACTTGATAGAGTAGGTGATATTGGGAAGGGGGGAATGTGTTTCTGGGGCTTGCATGTGAGAGTATGTAGTTCTTCTGTGTCTCCTTGATTTATGAGGGTACAGAAATTCTATAGCTTTTTAACTGCCTGGTCTGCAGATGCTTGTACCAGAGCTTCTGGTGCCTCTGTATGTTCTGGGAATCATCTTAGAGTAGAATGAAATGGGCAGAGTTATAGCCCCTTTAACTCTCTTCTCCTGCACAAAGGTTGTCCAGAAAAGGCAGGAGTTACAATATGATTTTTTTTTTTTTCACTAAGAGAAGGAAACTAAACAAAACCTTAGTTTCTGCCCTCTTTTCCAATCTCCACTGCTTCCCCTGGTTCTCTGTACCCGTTGATCTGGTTTTACTGTATCATCTGCTCAGCTGGTAGTACCAGAAGAAGAGCAGAAGTACTGCTCTGCCTTGGTTCTGAGCTGCATACTTAGACTTTTCTGGTACTGTGTCCTTTCCTTCCTTCTCCAGAGCAGCTGCCAATTCTCCTTAATCATGACATGGTCTCTACTATGTTAGGATATCAACAAAGTGCTCCTGCCACTTGCTTAGTAGTTATTGCCCCCCTTTCACTGTAAAAACTTGTCATTCAAAACTATTCCAGGGATTTCTGGAATTAATTATCTGGGGGGCTTGTCTTTGCCATTTCCTGTCCAAACAGTTCCTAGAACTTGAGAAACTGATATCAAAATTACCTTTTACATCTAGTTGCCAGTGAATGCTGATGCCATTGTGTTCAGTTCTCTGGGTTCACAGCTGTGGTCAGTTTGATCTGGTGACTGACATGGGCTCACACTACTTGGGGGAACTCCAAAATAGTAGCATAACTAGAGGTGGATGAGTGGGATGCCAGCTCCAGGTATCAAGCTTGGGAGGAGTGTAAGATTGACCATTGCTGCCAGCAGCCTAGCCACAGTGGCTGCTGTTGCTGCCCAGGGCACTAAACCTGATTTATTAGGCTTCTGCTCTAGAAAGAATGTGGCAGCAAAAGGACCCTTCTCACTCCTGACATGGCGGGCACCTGCAGAACTTGTACACCTATACCAGTCTTGTGTCTTTGGTAAAACGCCAGAAATAGTCTCCTTCATAACACCTATCCATTGTGGTGTTCTCTGTGTACGTAAAAAAGACAGACTGACTGACCACTCTCTTGAAGGAACAGCCATTCTCCATCTAATGCATTAAACAACTGCCAGCCTCCACACTCAAATTCTAATATTGGGTAGTTGGTCAGAGCTGAGATCTTGTTGGCAAGCGCCGATCTTTCCAGATCATGGCGTGTGAGAGGAGTCACCCTGGCCTTCGAAATGTATGTCTAGTCAGGAGTTCAGGGGAGTGGAGGCTGCCCAGACCTTCCATCCCCACCTTTAGGCCACTGAGACAGAATCCAAAGACTGAGTCCAGATGTTTGGTGCCTCCATGGCTGTAGCTGTATTAAGTGTCCAGGAACTGAACCCATCCAGAGAGAAATGACTCAGAGGTAGGCATGTCATTTCTCTCTGGATGGGGAAGGAAACAATACTGTGCTTAAGGGTGATCTGAAAAATATTTTCTTAATTGCACTGTCCCCCTTTTTTTTTTTTTTCCTGCTTCCTGATGACGATATCTGGGTCAAACATTTACTTATCCCAACATTTGTGTGTTTTACCTTTAAAAACTTCCAGAACATGACGTTGTTTTGCTAAGAGTCCCTTCTTAGCTTCCAATGAAGTAAATTGCTACTTACGAAAGCTCATATATCTTTAATTTAACAAACATCTACCCTGCCTTTTGCTTGACTGCAGACCAGCACAGCTAACTACCCCTCTTTGCTGGAGATTTCCAAGTAGTCCTAATGTTTATCAGGAATCCTAACTCTTCAAGTGGAGGGGCAGTAGTTAAAGAATCTTTAACTAATTTTGTAGAGATCTAGGAAGTTTAATTATGGACACTAAACTGCAATAACCAAGCCCTGCTACTCTCCACTCCAGTCCCAAACAGTATCTTGACTGCTTCAGATTCCTGGCATCTGTTAACCTTGGCTCTTGTGAGGTCTCCACTTTGAGAATTCATAGTCATTTTTAGTCTTCGAGCTTAAACAGCTTTCTTCTTCACTACCCTCCCCCAGGATCCTGCATGTCACCTCTTTAAAACCCTTGTTTCAGCTTCCTCTGCAGACAGTTGGTGAACACTGTACAGCATAAAGGTGATACAAAGGTTAAAAGGTCCATAGCGTACATACATGTGCATGTGTTATACACACTCTGTATAGTGTGTCACAACCCAAAATTGTGATTTTTGTTTTTGTGTGTTGTTTGGCACCACTGAATTATTTTTCCGCTAAATTGCAGCTTCTTTGCACGGTGGAGTTTTCTGCTGTAAAGGAGAACCCCGGTGCAAGGGAGAATTTCCCGCCAATTTGTAGCTTTCTTTGCATGGTGCATTTCTTTTTGCATCTAGGAAATGCTCGGTGCAAAGAGTTCCCGCCATTTGTATTTTAATTCGAGCCCCATTATTGGCTTGTGTGAAATTATTCACATGTGGCGGCTAGTGACTGGCTTGCTAGCCGTATAAGAGGCTTGGGTGGTTTCTGCCCAAGTTGGAGAACTCCGAGGAGAACCCCCGCGAGGGAGGACTCCACGAACACCAGGAGGAGGAGACTTCACGCTGTGTGAAGATCTCTAAGCGCTGTGGAGCCTATCGGACCCAGCGCATTTAAAGCAGGCAACAGGGGTCTGATCAGTCTCTAGCCTCTCCCCGTCACTGAGTGCAATCCTCAACGTATCCCTCTTCCCTGCGCGCACAAGGACCCACGGAGCCTAGCAAACTTGGTGTGAGTTTATTCAGAGCTCTTTGTCTCGTACTTTCTTCGGTTGGTGCGACGGGCTCACGGTTTAGAGCCTCTAACTGGATGGGCTAGAAGAGTGTTCACGGGAAGGAACTCTAGTCCGCCTCTTATCTTTTCTATCTGCAACTGTAACTCAAGCAAGTTTTCCTGCCTGCACCGCAACCATCTTTGGTGTAAGTAAACAATCTTTAAATCAACCACTACGCCTCTGTGACTAATTCTAGCCCGTGCGTGCCTTGCTGCCACACGGTCTCCTCTGACCCTGCGTGCCCGGGCTGCTGGCCACAGCCCGCGTGCGCAAAGACGGGTCCGCATATCGCTCCTGGCTCGCACATGGCGACATGGATGGGATCGGGAGGCGGCCCGCACATAGTGTACTATATATAATTAAATAAAGCTTAGTTGAAAAATCTGAGCAATATGAGAAAATTCTGCTTGACATGTAAGATCCTTGGGGCAGGGATTTTCTGTGTTCTTGCCTCTCGCCCTGGGGTCCTGCTTTCTGATTGGGGTCCTCTAGTGCTACTGCAACAACACTAACTTAATTTCTAAATGTGTGAATCATCATGTGTCTTTGATTTGTGTGAATCACTTGGCATTTTGGCAGGACAGCCCTTGAAAGGCATTGCTTGCTGATGCCCCACCCTGATGCCCAGAGGAATCAAGCTGGTTAACCTGTGAGTGCCAGTAGGACTGTTTGGAGGCAGTTGGGGGTGGTGAGAACACAAATGTGGGTGCTAAGCCTGGTGCAGGCACTGAGTTTGTTTTAGTCCTTTCTGGTAGCAAGCTGTTCCCTTTGCTCAGCTGTTATGATGGTGCCTTTCCCGCACAATGCTGTCATGCCACCCCAGCGCTTCTATTTAAAATCTCTCTGGAGCTGGATCTTGTGACACTCGGATTTGGCATCTCTTCTGCAGCCTGGAATGTGGTACATTTGAGGGTGGAGAGTGGCAGCAGCTGCTGTATCAGGGCATGCTCCTCTGTATTTGGCAGAAAGGGAGACCTGGCTCCTACCCTGGGACCTTGACTTGTCAGAGCAGCAATACCCTTATCTCTGGGTTGAAGCAGCAGCTTCTAACTGTGCCCGCCCCTGCCCCTGCCCCCCCTTCTCCAGTCTACTTCACGAAGTCAGCAGAGTCCAGGAAACAGTCTCCAGGTGTCCTAGACTCCTCGTTCTTTTGGCTTCCAGGTACGTAGTCTATTTGTTTCTGGCCACAAGACTGGAACCAGCTGCCTTGTTAAGCATGCGGGGTTGTCACAAGCTGATTATCAAGGCAGAACAGGGTGTGTCCTTCAAGCATTAGGGTTTTTGTACCTGAGTTACTTCTCTAGTTTAATAACTTGCCTCTATGGGTTTCCTGGAAGGCTGTGGGGCTGGGGCAGTATTGGCTCCCCTTGGAAGTCAGGTGAGTTTCCTTATTGTGCCTCTAATACCCTTCATGTTAACAAGCACATCGTTCAGGTAGGGGATGCTTAATCCTCTCCTTGGTTCCCTGCGTTGCATCTCTTATGGAGCCTGCCTTCAGGCTCCTGTTGTGTGGGTCAATATTTAGAAAGCTGGGGGGGGGGGGGGGGGGGGGGGCGAGAGGGATGGGATGCGACAGACTGAGACCCAGTCCCTTGAGATGATTCCTACTGTATAAGCTGTGCCTTGGGGCTGGCAGAATGAACAGAGACCTTTCTGGGGTGTGAGGGAAGCTTTTTATAACCAAGAATGTGCAAGAGGAGATGAGCAGCAATCAATCCTGTTGGTGCTGTATTAACCTCAGGCTTGCCTGGGATTAGCCTATTTGTGCTGCACACTTGGACTGTCCTGCTCTCCCACCCTTCTAATCTCGGTGCTAGAGGCATGTGTGAGCCCACTCTTGGGTCAGTCCTGGTGTAGCACTGGTACCAAGAACTTGGATGCAACCAGTTTCATGTTGGACTAGACAAAGTCCATGTGGGGTGGAGAGGGCTTCCCTTGCCCTCTTGAAGGGGTTCTCCATGCCTGACTCAAATGCTGTGACACAGCTTTCGGTGTAATATAAGCCACTCTGACCCTGTTGGAAGCGCCACCTACTTGGGTTGGGGCATCCTTGGATAGCTGGCAGTAGGGTATGTCTATAGTTTTGTCTCCCAGCCCTGCCAGATGCTTGTTTCCTCACTTATAGGCCAGGCCTTTTAGGACATGCTCTCTTGGTGATGACTGGGCCTTGCTTTCTCCAATTAATTGGAGTAGTCTCTTAATCATGACCCTTTCTGTTAGGAATCTGGAGTCTTCTCTTGATGAAAGACCTATTTTTAAAGTGCTTCAAGGCTGGATGTATTCAATAGTTTCGTGTCTCTCCCTTGAAGGTCTTGGTTTAGAAAAGAGGAGCCTCTGCTGAAGTTCTTGGTGCTGGTGAAAGGGACTGAATTTGGTGACATCTCCAAGATGCATACAATCTGGCCATGGCAGGGCCACCTTTATCCACAACATCCTGCAGCACTGTTCTGGGGGGACTTCCTGTGGGGTTTTCAATTTCAGGGAGGTCCAGGAGTGAATAAGGCTCAGTTGCTCAGTGGTAACGAGGCTGTTGTCCAGATTCCTGTTTGAGCCAACCCATTTCCCTTCCATAAGCATCTTTGAAGGGATGGTGCAAGGCTCTGCTCTGTGCCTGGTCCCTGTCAGTATCCTGCTACCAACAGCCTTTCTCTCTTCCAGCTTCCTTGAAATCTGCAAAAATTCTCTGCTGCAAGGAAACAAGAGCGATGTCATCGGAAGATGATTCTGGCGGGGAGGCTTCTGGAGGCAGCTTCTGGGAAGTAAGCAGGGATACTTATGGGTGGGAGTGGTAGGAATGCCTTCTGCCTCCCACTCGTGGAATAAGGAGGTTAAATTTGGGGCTCCTTTGGCAACACAATGCTGTCCTCAAATGGATGGGAGAGACTCTTTGACTTGCTCTTAGGAGTGGCTTTGACCTCTGGAGGAGGGGAGAGTATGGGGTATAGATCTTGAGTGATGGCTCCATTATCAGCTGATGATGATTCAAGTCAAGGGCAGCCAGAATGTCACAGCATAACTCTAGCACCCATGCCCAACTTCCTGCATGAACACTAGTTGCTGGTCCTAATGGAAGCCTCAGAAGGACCTGCCTTCCCCTGCTATATTGTGACCTGGCTCCTGAAGGTGTATGAAGTCAGTGCAATAGGACTGAAGCTGTTGTCTCTAATTGTAGGCTGGTAACTACAAGCGGACAGTAAAACGTGTGGATGATGGGTACCGGCTCTGCAATGATCTAATCTCCTGCTTCCAAGAGCGAGCCAAGATTGAGAAGAACTATGCCCAGCAGCTCACAGAGTGGTCCCGCAAATGGAGGACCAATGTGGAAAAGGGTGAGGCAGGCTGACTGTGCTGGGCACAGGCTCAACGAAACTGTTTCCAACATGTAGGACGTGATTGTGCTGTGTGTGTGTGTGTCTGAAGGAGATAAAGTGAATGGAACAGAACAGCTTCTTTCAGTTTTAAGCTTAGAAAGAAAAATAAAGGAGCTGTCAATTTAGTCCAGCCCTGTGAAGGGGATGTTTGCTCCTTGAATTTCCAAGTTCTTCCTCCATCCTCCCCATTACCAAAAAAATGCTTTCCAGAATACAGTGGGGTCCTAAATCCATGGAGGACTCTGCTTGACAAACTGGCAAGCAAGGGAAGAGTTGTAGCTTGTTTTTCTTCTTTTCCTTTTTTCTTCCTGCCCCCCCCCCCCCCCCACATTCTTTTTTTTTTTTTTTTTTTTTTAAAGAACTGAGGAGAGGGTTAGGACCCTACTGCCAAGAGTATCTAATGTTGGGTGATCCACGGGCACTTAGTTTCCCAAGGTGTTGGTGCCTTAGGGCTTAACTAGAAATGGTGAGGCACATGTCCTAAGGAGACTGCCAGCCTGTGGAACAGGCTTTCAAGGGAACCAGGTTTTCACTTCAGTCATGGGATGCTATTGAGCTGGGGGTGGGAGGAAGTGCGTGTATGTACGCACATATTTTGAGGGTTGGTAGGGGAAGGGAACAACCTTCTGTGAGAACCTATAGCCTGTAGGGGGACAGCTCCAGATGAGCAGCAGCTAGAACTGAGACTAACTGGAACACCCATTCCAGCCACCACCTCAGCTGTCCGTGTAGAGCAGTTGATGCAGGCCACGGCATTTGGAAGATAGGTGGCAAGTGTCTGCTTTGGCCCTCTTACCCATGGTGGCAGGTTCTAATGGGTTATCTTTGTGCTTCCTCCTCTAGGACCTCAGTATGGTACCCTAGAGAAAGCTTGGCATGCCTTCTTGACAGCTGCAGACAAGTTGAGCGAGATCCATATGGAAGTGCGAAACCAGCTGGCTGGGGAAGATGCAGAGAAGATCAAGGGCTGGCAAAAGGAAGCCTACCACAAGCAGATGATTGGGGGATTCAAGGAGACAAAGGAAGCAGAGGATGGATTCCGCAAAGCCCAGAAACCCTGGGTGAAGAAGCTGAAGGATGTGAGCAAGGAGTGGTGTCTGGGCAGGAAGGGCTGGAATGTTGGGCTACTGGGGCTGGGAAAGCAATTGGCTTGGATGTGCTTACCTGGTGGGATTGCCTATAGCAAAGGTTACAACACCTGTCCTGAGCAGACTATAAGGGATGGGAAAACTTGGACATGGTGCATGGCTCTAGCTTTGTATTCCTGCCTGTATTAGGTAGAGAATTCTAAGAAAAATTACCATACAACTCGGAAGGATGAGAAGACAGCACAGACCCGGGAAAACCACGCCAAAGCTGATGCCTCCATCTCACAGGAACAGCTACACAAGTTGCAGGATCGTGTGGAGAAATGCACGCAGGAAGCTGAGAAGGTGGGTGTATGCTATGTGGACTTGGGCCAGTGAGCGTGTGGGTGTCCCTTCCGCACCTCAGTGCCCCAGTGGAGAAAAGGAGGAGTAGGACTCTATCCTGTGCTGAGCACTCTTGCTGCCTCTTGGATTCAGTGGCAGTAGAAGGAATGCAGTGTCTCGTGGGGTAGACCTCCATTTAGTTAGGTCTGGCGGGGCAGGAACCACAACTTGGACAGGACACGATGCACTGTCCATTTATGACTAATAAGGCGGAGAACTTGGGATGGCATTATTCTAGAAGGTAAGAGCTGCAGCCTGCTACCATGGAAGACCAGACTAATGAGACCAGCTGCTACTTTCTCCCTTGCCCCCTCTGAGCAGAAAGGAGAGGGGAGAAGTTGCTGAGAGGAAAGCAACAGAAACAGAGGGGTCACTGGTGCAACAATATGCTCCCGACTCGGATGAGCTGACTGCTTGCTGTACCCCTCACTTTGCTCTGTGTGGGGTGAGGGGTTGCGGTAAGGGAAGAACTGCAAGGTTCCCTTGAGGGAAAGGATAGATGAGGGATTGTTTTGTGACTCTTCTCATTCTGGGCTGCTGCAGTGTAAGGATCAGTATGAGAAGATGCTAGAAGAGCGGAACCGCTACAATCCCCGCTACATGGAGGACATGGAGCAAGTGTTTGAGGGCTGCCAGGAGGCAGAGCGCAAGAGGCTGTGCTTCTTCAAGGAGATGTTCTTGGATCTACACCAGCACCTAAACCTCTCCGTCAAAGATGGGTACTGCTATGGGTTGTCTGCCTATCCAGGACCTAGAACACACTGATCCCTGGCAGGGGGGTAGAGACTCTGGGGGTCTTTGAGGAAGGAGATCATCTGCCTGTTGGAGGGACTGCTGTCCTGTCCCTTCCCATCTTAATGTCGCTGAGATTTGGAACTAATCTCTTTTGGCCAGACCACTTGTCTGGTTGTGAACAAAGTGCTCATCCCCCTTAAAGGTACTGTCTGCAGTTCCTCCTAGGAGCCTCCAGGATTCCACCACATAGTCACTACCACTGAGCACCCATCTTGTAGGTGTGGGTTCTTGACTTGTCTGTTATTCTGACTTAGGCCTTATCTTGACTCACCCATTTTTCAACAAAAGCTGTTTGTTTTTAAATGCCCTTGTTCAGAAGGCCTGTCTGGATAACAGCCACCCCTTCTCCTACTCTGGTACAAAGCAAGGGATTATGTTTCTGAACCTCTAGCATTACTGTGGCGTGGGTACAGAAATGATTTTGCCCTTGCATCAAGCCTGAAGGCTACAAGTGCCCTATACCCATGACATTGACTCTTCCTTACCCTATCCAGGATGTAAGATTGAACCAAGTCAGATGGGACCATTTCCCTGCATCTCTACATGGGGAATCTGTTTGCTTCTTTCAAGCTTTTTGACATGGGTGAGGGGAAGGGGAGGTTTTAACCTTCCTGGGTTACTGCTGTGGCTGCTGTAGCAGCATCAGCTCCACTCCAACAGGCAGCCCAACTCCCAGAGAGCCCGTGCCCTGCTCACTCCCTCCCACATACATACATACATACATACATACTGGGAATAGGGCTGAAAAGGGAGGACACCATTCCACTCACTCCACTTGTCCCCTGCTGCTGCCGCCCCCCCCCCATGACTTTAATGCTTGGTGCGGTGCTGCCCTGCCCAGATCATATGGCTGGGCAGAGGAAGTGCAGGGCTGTCACTGTTGTGGCAAAGACTCTTGGTGGATCCCAGTGCCCCCTTACAGTTGGCAACCAGCGCAGGTGCTCCCTTCACCTTGCCTAGTTACACTAATGAGACTTGCTTGCTAACATTGGTTCTGTTGCTTATTGTAGCTTTCAAACACTGTACCGAGATCTATATCAAGTGATCGTGGCTGCGGATGACCAGGAGGACCTGAAGTGGTGGCGCAACACCCATGGGCCAGGCATGGCTATGAATTGGCCTCAGTTTGAGGTAGCGCATCTATGGAGAGAGTGTTACCACAGAGCCTTCCTCCCTGCCAGCTGACCCTTTTCCCCCATGGATGTAGTTGTGGATTCCCACTCATGTCTGTGTTGCTCCTTTTGAGGCATTCTCATTGGAAGTGGTTGGCCTCTAATCACCAGGGATCAAGAGGATCCCTGTGAAAAAGGGGATCACTTGTAAGCTGGTTCTTCATGGCTATTTGCATGTATGCATGCCATCTGGACTGTGGTCCATCATTCCAGCCCCAGCTGGGGAAGATATGCTTTTAGGGGGGTGTGGGTAGGCCCTGAGCCATGCAATGAGCTGTTTTTATCCAAAATGTTGCATCTTTGTCCACTCCCCACCCCTCCCATCCTCAGGAGTCCTTTTAGGTGACTCATCAGGGCTCCAACAGGTGGACTACTCCATTACATTGTGCTTAAATAACAAATAAGCTCTGTGGTGGTCATTTCCCTCCCCTCCCCCACATATTGATCTAAAACTCTGGACTTGGGACAAATGTGGGTGTCTGCTTTTGTCTCCCCCCGAATAGGAATGGTCCCTGGAAACACAGCGGCCAATCAGCAAGAAGGAGAAAAGTAGTAAAGGCAGTGAAGATGTGACCCTGACTAGCATCGTGGCCACACGGGATGGTGTGTCTCCTACTCCTCCGCAGACAAAGCGAGGGTAAGGCCTTCAGCTTGGGACATGGAGGAGGATAAGGCCTTTCTCAGCCTACAAGTCATGGATTAGCTGAACTGATAGTGACTTCCTTTATTTGCTTGCAGCTGCTTCTGATCTTGGGGAGGGGTGAGAGGGTTATTTTATTTCCATGGCTTAGGGTTGGTTGGTACTAGTACAAAACCTGATAAACCAGTGGTGACCATTCAGGGAGCTGTCTTCCTGTGACAGTCTGTAGAAACCAATCCAGAGAATAGCATGTGGATCTCTTGGGTAATTTCTCACTTGGTCCATGCCATTCCTGCCATAGGCCAGTTCTGGTAGCACAAATGGTGCTTGGAGTCAAATACAGGGAAAGGGAGGGAAGGCATTGGTGACCAGGGATGCAGAGCCATCTCCACACTGCTCTCTGTGCCCAGTCTGTTGGATTCAGGGCCATATTTGCCAATCCACAGGTTTTCCTATCAAGAGGAGCAGAACAGCCTCTTCTACAACAATCTGAGGGCATCTGCCCATGTGAAGTTAGTATGGAATTCTGTCCTCGCCGGGGTGACTGGGTGCAAAACATCTATCTTCTGCTTTGTTTCCCTCCCTTCCACATGTTCCCTACCCTTTTTGCTGTGGCTGGGAGGCTGGCATGCCAGCTGAGTCTGCCTTTGATGGGGGATGTAGTTTACCCCCTCTTTTGTGTGCTTGCCTGGAAATGGACTGTCTTTGGAAGTAGCTAGGTGATGCCTTCCTTCATGGGTTTAAGCTGACAAGCTGTATGTTTGCCTGCCTGCGAGAACACAAAGGTGGAAGGAAGGTGCTTTATAGGGACCTGACTTAAGCCTGAATTTTCTGAGCTGCTTCTAGCTCCTCCTGGTCTCTCTCTCCTTCTGGGTACCCCACTCTCCTGTTCTGCCTCATGCTCCTTGATCTGTAACCTAACTCTCCATGGGGATCTGGGGCATGATTCAGGAGGTTGGGGAAGTACCTCGGAGTCAGTCTGTAGTTTCCCAAGACCCTTTTTATTCTACCCCTATCCCTCTGCCCCTTTCCACACAGCGGAGGGGAAGAGGCCCTTTCAGAGTGGTCAGATGAGGACACTCCCAAGAAGTGCCTGGAGGCCAATGGACATGAGGAGGACCTAAAGGTACCAGGCATGCGGGTGCGAGCGCTATATGATTACATGGGACAAGAGGCTGATGAGCTGAGCTTTAAAGCAGGTACAGAAGCACTAATCCTTTTACTGATCCTTTGCCACTACCACTTTGGTTGACTGATTGAAACATCCCACTGAGATCTGGATAGCCCCCTTGGGAACCATACAGTGTCTTTCCCTGCCACCAACCCAGGGAAAGCACTGGGCAGCCCAGAGGCTGCCCCTGCCCCCACTTAGTAGGGAGATCAACAAGGCACAAGGATGCTAGAAAGGGAATGCTTTGGTTTTGGCCACAGAGGGCAGGGGGGAAAAGCACAGCTGAAATGTGTGAGGTAAGTCTGGGATTTACCTGGTATGTGTCACAGGTGACACCCTGAACAAAGGGAAAAAGGGGAATGCAGGCAAGCTCTTCACGTGCCTTCAAACTTGATTATATGCTGCTCTCTTAGAATCATAGGGTTGGAGGGGGCCTCAGGAAGCTATCTACTCTAGCACCCTGCTTCAGGGAGGATCATCCCAGAAAAGTATCTAACTTGCTCTCAATAAAACTTCCAAGAATGGAGATAATGAAGTTTCTCTAGGTAATCTGTTCCATTTCTTAACCATTCTCATAGTGAGAGAGTTCCTTGTAATATCCAATCTACTGTCCCTTTATTGTAATTTATTGCTCATTGTCCTGTCCTTTGCAGCCACAAAGTCATCTATTGCCATCCTCTTTATAACCACACTTCAGATATTAGAAGACAGTTGCCAAATTCCCTTTCAGTCTTCTCTTCCTCACTAAATCCCCCCAAATCTTCTGAATTGTTTTTTTTTTCCTATAAGTCACTTTTCCTAGATCTCTGATGTTGTTGTTGCTCTCTGAAGGACTCTGAATTTGTTCCTGCATTCTTGAAGTACAGTGTCCTATACTGGATACATTGTTTTAAATGAGGTCTCAGTGGAAGAATCACTTCCCTTAACTTGTAAGTGATGTTACTATTAATACAACCTAGCGTACTGTTGACCTTTTTTCCCCAATAAGAGCACACTGATTCATAAACTTGTAATCCACTATCACCCCAAGTCTTTTTCTGTAGTACTGTGACCTAGCCAGTTATTCCCCAATATGCATCTGTGCATACAGAGCTGTCCCTTTGGGCGGGGGGGAATCGGGGCCATTACCCTGGGCCCCATACAGGCCTCACCAGACGCTGTGCGCTGCTGGCTCCATGCTCTGGCCACTTGCTGCCCTGGCCCCGCACAGCCTGATATGCCCCAGGCCCTGCATACCCCTAGGGGTTGCTCTGTGTGCATGTGACTGTTCTGTCCTTAGTGTCTGTACACTCATTGAATTTTGACCATTTTTTCTAGTTTATTAAGGTAATTCTGAATCCTAATCCAATTCCCCTCTGCCCTCCCTCCCCCAACAGTGCCTGCAACTCCACCCAGTTTAGTGCTGCTTGCAGATTTGCTAGCTGTGTACTCGGTTCCACCCTCTGAATCATTAATGAAAATATTAAATGGTACTGGACCCAGGACAGATTCTTGAGGAATCTTACTTGATGCTTCCTTCCAGTAGCCATTGGCTACTCTTTCAAACACAATGATCCAGCGAATTAGATGTCTAACATATAGCAGTTCCATCTAAATTAAGGGAATGCAGTCTACTAATGAGAATGTCATGGAAGACCATGTTGAAAGTCTTGCTAAAGTTGAGGTAAATTACAATGACTTGCTCTCAGCCTAGCCACAACCTGTTCCTGTCATAGAAGGAAATTGGGTTGGTTAGTAGTTTTTCTTGATAAATCCATCTTGTCTGTTCCTCTAGGTCAGGGGTGCCCACAAGCCAGATCCCACCCCTGGTGCTGTCATTCAGCCTGTGGGGCTCCCCATTCTAGATAAGGCAATGCAGGACCTGGTCCCAGCTAGGTGGGGGCGGCACAAGGCCCCCAGAGCCCAATCCTGGCTGGCTGGGTGGCAGTGGCATGGGGTCCAATCTGACTCATGGACCAGCCCTGTGGTCTAGATGAATGGCAAAGTACTACTGCTCAGAGGCAAGGATAGATGCTCCCAATAGAGGGTGTGAGGGAGAATGCTGGGATCTCTGTTCTGAGTTAGTTTCTACCCCACCTGCCTCTCCTCAGTTTCCAAAGGGCTATCTGGATCTCAGGACTGTTTCTAATCTTGCTTGTATTGAATTTCGTGCATGTGGAGTGTGGTGCATGTCATTAGGAATACGTGTTGCCTTTTTTTTATTTTTTCAAATGGGTGCTAAAGTCCCTGGTTCCATGCATGAGGCCAGCATCTGTTCTGCTGAGTCATCACCTAGACTTTTTAGCACTAACTCACTTGTTGCTCAATGCAGCAGCTTTTTTTAAAGCCATCCCAACAGTACAGGTGGATTGGCATAACTAGCCAAGAGGGGTGGGGATAGAATTTTCCTTCCCTGTACATGTTGGGGAGCCTCCTACAGGCCAGAAGGCTCTAGGATTTGATTTTCCCCCAGCTACTTCCCTACCAAGTAACTTGGATCCAAGCTAACCAGTCCCTTCTGTATCAGACTAGAGTTGTACCACTTAAGTCCCAGTATAACTAATAAATCCATTAGAGGGGACTTGACCTCACCCTGGGGGCAGATGACTTTCCAGTCCTCTAGATGATAAATGGGACTGTACCATAGGAAAACTCCAAAAGCTGTATCTGACCATATATACAGGTCTTTGTATCAGTGGGAAGGGTTCCTGTTTCTTTCTTTCACGGTGCAAAGCTGGGGAGGGTAAAGGAGAGCCGCCCCCCACCCCTGCCTGTCTGGTTGGGAAACCTAGGCCCATTCTATGGCTTGCTTTGATTGCCTTGGGCTCTGGCTATTCTGTGTTAGAACCCAAGATAGTCATTTGCCTAAAGCTGAACATCTTGCAAGTCCTTCCTACCTGTTTCAGAGGAAACATGCAGCAGAGGGGACCTGAAACAAGACTCTATGCAGCTGAAGATCTGGGGACCGTAATGCTCCCCAAGGATCCTCTGACCTTGCAGATGCCAACTTCTCTGTCTTTGGGGAGGTGGGGAGGAAGAGAGTGCTAATTAGTGACAAGCCAGTTTTTTATAAGCAACCCATTTTTCCCCCTTTAAGAGCTCCCTTTGAAAGACTTCTTGCCTACAGTTGTTCCCTCTTTCCAGAGCACACTGAGACATTGTGAAGGATCAAGATTATACTGGTTAGCTACATCTAATTCATATGGTGTTAGTGCATACGTGTGTACATGCACTTCTGCCCTAAGTCCCTATGTGAGGTCTTTGGATGCCAAGGAACAGCTGTGAAGTTTCCTGGCTCTTTCCCAAGGTTAAATTGTTGTGCTGCTTTCCTTTAGGTGAAGAACTAATGAAGATCAGTGAGGAAGATGAGCAGGGCTGGTGCAAAGGCCGGCTTCTCACAGGCCAGGTTGGACTCTATCCTGCTAACTATGTCCAGAGGGTTGGATCATGATTGCTGCTCCCCTCCTAAGGCATCTCTTGCACATGCAGCAGCCTATCCCTGCAGAGGTCATCTGGTCACTGTTGGCCCCTAACCCACCTCAGCAGGGTGCACAGCCATGTCTGGACTCTGATTCTGAGGACACATGTTCCTTGTAACCAATGCTTCATTTTAAATTTCTAGAATCCTAGGGGTTTTCTAATAAATAAATATGGATGAGTAAAGGCTTATTCTGCCTTTGAGCACTAGGGGAATTTGGGGGTGGGGGTGTGGACAGGGGCTAGGGATTTTGCTGGGGTGGTGCAGTGGCACATACTGATGCTTGCCTATTAAAGATCACTCTTGCCTGCTTCCTTTGTGCCTGTGCATAAAAGCTAGCTGGGATCTTCTGGGTCCACAGGTGGCTGCTGGCTGCTCTATCCTTAAGTTTCTCTAAAGAGGGATTGAGACTGCTACAGTAGCTTTCAGATTTGGTGGTGGGGATATGGCCCTGAAAAAGCTCTAGAAGTGTTGGCTGCCTTTGGCCAAAAAACAAGCATTCATTTTGATTCTAGATGCATTAGGAAGGCTTCAGTAATGCTGGTGTCTGCCCCAGAGTTTCCTGTGGGAGCATTTTGAGGTTCAAATAAATCTCTTATCTTTGACAAATCTCATTGCCTCCCCTAGTCATCTGGCATAAACTATATAGGTTGACAGTTCACAAAACAGCTGTCTGATAGACCAAGGGTTGTGCACTGTCCCTGCTTTCCTAGTTGCGGGAGGGAGGGGCTAACTCGGGTTCCTTTTTCAGTACCAGTAAGACCATCCTTTCCCCAGTTCTTTTGGCCCTTGACTTCTACGCTGAGTAATTACACCTTTTAGAAAAAAATCTTGTAGCCCGTTTTAACAGTTATATGGCATAAAAATGTAACATTAACTAAGGTTCTAGTTCACCGGTAAGAGACCTAACTTCCCAACTGTTTCCAGATGCCACTCAATGGTGGTGACCAAGGAATATCTTTGGGGATGTGTCCTATCTCTATCTTTTGTGTTCCTCTGGAGCAACTGAGATCAACCAGGGGCCTGGTACTAGGCTAAGGGTCTCTGATTCTAGCCTTCATATTCCAAACAAGATGGACCAAGGAACTGAAGCTTAACAGATGAGCTTTATGATTGAAATGCCTCCTTAAGATGAGACCAGAATTTGGTTCCTTGGTATAATATGTTAGATCTGGGTGAATGTGAATTGTGGTAGAAGCTGTGGCCAGACAAATTTTTTTCTGCTTTAAAGTTGGTGGGGTGGACTTGCCACTGGTGACCACATATATCGCCTAAACCACTGTAATGTTTTACTGTGTCCTGCTGTAAGTGACACTATATGGGTGAATTTGTACTGAAATAAGAGCTGCTAGACTATGACTGCTTCTTTCTGCAGGATTGAGTGGATATGTAAAACCATTATAAGGGAACAGCTTGAAACCTGGTAACTCCCTCCCCTTCAGCTGGCATAACTATTTAGTTTGTCTGTATCCTGAGATGCAGACGCAATGTGGTAAAACAATAGTTCACAGAATTTGTCTGAGGAAAACAACCAGGGCTGGATTAGTATCCATGAGGTGCTTAGCCTGGCCAAAGAGAATCGGAGTAGCTGGTAACAAGTTGAACCAGACATGAAAAGAATAATGTCATTGGATGGAGATGTGAGGCACAGAAGGGAGTTGTATGCTGACCTAGATAGGTAGCTGACTTGGAATTCTTTAACTATAGGCTAGTAAAAATACACCATTACTTATGGGTCAAAGGAAGAGCTGCACATTGTGATATTCAGCAGG